GGGTTGTGTAGTTTTCTAACTTGCGAACGTAATGATGTTACATGTAGCTTTTATTTGCCACACAAGTTGCTTCATTCTTCCTCCTGAAAAAAGGAGCTGTAGATTCATTAGTCTTTCAGTTCTTCAAGGCCTTACAGCTCTTGTTGTTCAAGAGAGCAGTGAATTGTTTTCATTTTCAATATGGGCGGGACGTCTCTCTATGTGTGCCATTTAATGTTTTTTTGTATATGTGGGTGTGTTCGTGCTTTAGTAGAGCTGGTTCCATAAATGCACAGCTAAAATAAGATCTCACTCACTTCCTCTTTGAAAAAAGTGTTGCGAGTTCAGTCAGTAACAGGAGCTCTTCTATAAATAATCTAGCAGCGATTTATGAGTCACATCATATGTTTGGGTTTGTGCTTGCAAAAATAAAAATGTATATATATATATATATATATAAATTCTTTTAATCTGTGATTTTTCTGCATTTCAGTTAAAAGGAAAGAATGGTGTGGAGTTTCTGTTGCAATATGACACAGAAAGCATCATCACTGACTGGCATAAAGTCTTAGTGGACACCATAAGGCAACTTGTAAGTCTTTAAACTGCTTTTACAGAATAATCAAAATTAGGCTGCATTAAAATGGTTTAATAGCTTATTTGTCTTCTATTTTTTTCTTATATGAAAATATTAAATTTGCGTCTGTTTATAGAAGTTGATCTGTTCCATTTCCTGTTAATAACAATGTGTAGATATTCACTCCAATTCAGCTCCTACACAAAACAAACCCGCATATTTCATCAAGTTTCTTAAATTTTGTATCAATAAATGGCATAAATCAACAGTTACAGGGAGCCAGATTTTGACCACAAAAGCTTAATTGCACCCAACCGTAACTAGACATTAGAAGATCACAACAGAAACTTCTGGTTGTTGTGGTTGATGGTGATGATGACAGGAGGCAGATCTCTGCTGCTGCTGCTTCACGCCTGAAGTCCCTAATAATTAGTGTTAAATACCCAAAGGTAAACAGGTAGAACTTGCTCAAAGTTTAAGAAAAAGCTTTTGCCGTGTCAACAAATGTACTCATGTTTCAGCTCAGATGAAGCCTTAAACATTAGCTTATTTGCCAATGAAGTTTTGTGTAAGTGCTATATTTGGATATTCAACATCTGAGCTTCATGCTTTTGGATTAGCACAGATGAGTACACTGGGAAAGCATACATAACTTTATGGGACTGTATTTTGGGCTATACCTCCAAAGGCCTGCCATTCATTCTGGACAATCTTGCAAGCGACCCCTACAAAGCTGGATGTCCAGAGACCGGGAGCTGGATGTTCTTTGGCTCTTTGGTTCTAGACTACTAGCGTAACTCTGGCTAAAAACAAAAATCAATTAAAACTAATATCAAGTTCATTTAATGTGTAGAAAACCACAGCATTAGAAAACACACAATTGTCTCACATTTCTGATTTCTGTTTTTAGCTACGTGCTCACTAGATGGAACATTTCTTTTAAAAAAAGTAAAATTAGAAAAACTCTACATCAAGATTCATTTGTTTTGATTGTCTGTGTTTACCAGGAGTACCAGGAACATCATTCTGAGGAGGAGGATGCAGACATTTATGAAAAGATCCCCAACACAGATGAGAAGGTGGGAGGTGCCGTAGACAAGAGAAAATGTAAGTACAGCTTCTTCTACTTCAGCAAAAAAAAAAAAGGAAATTATCTCTGATTTTAACTGTGGCATGAGCAGCATAATGATTGTGCTTCAGTTAGATAGATAAGACATTTGTGAGCTACCCTCCCATCCTTTTTAAATGTCTATTGTTGCTATCTTTAGCAAGGGGAAGTGTTACAAGTACAGCTGCAACCACCACTGCAGCAGAAACAGAGCAGAAGAAGGTCCGAACCAAACTGATGAAGTTCCTCATGAAGCGTCCCACGTTGCAGACGGTCAAAGAAAAAGGCTACATCAGAGGTGATTTCAGACGAGGAAATGTAGAGCTTTGTTGTCATTTGCAGGCTTTGGCTGATTTGAATAGGAGGGAAAAATCAGTCTTTGTGCCTCCCAAACACTGAGCACTGATGTTGTGCTTATATCAGCATTTAAATACGAGCTGCTTTGAATTTTCCTACCCGCTTTTCAGTTCAGTTCACTTCTGTTTAGAGCTGATTTCTAGTGCATGGACAGCAAAATGGCAAAACAAACACAATGAAATTCTAAGGAAGTGTGTAATAGCCATGCTTTCGTCCAACTAGATGTCTTCAAGAGTTATGAGTATATTTAATATTCATTTCTGATATTGTGTGTAATCAAACTCTTCTAATTCTTTGCAGAAAATGTCTTTGGTTGTGACCTTGCGACATTGTGCGCACATGAAAAGACTACAGTACCGAGTTTTGTAGAGAAATGTATTAATGCAGTGGAAAGGCGAGGTAACACCTTATTTATATCACAGTGGAATAATTACAAAGTATATCTTCCTGTGTGCGTGATCAAGCAGCTGACCCGCTGGTGCTTACTTGCTGATTTCTAGGTCTGGATATTGATGGACTCTACAGAGTCAGTGGGAACCTCGCTGTCATTCAGAAACTGCGCTTCAAGGCCGATCACGGTAAAATCAATCAATGTGTTAAACTAATTAATTCAGTCAGTCACCTCATGGGCAAGGAACATACTGTGGTGTTGATCTCATAGGCTCATTTTAGACAGCAGTGACCCCTGCTGGGTTTTAATAGCAAGTGCATGTGTTGTGTTTAAACAGATGAACTGGACCTCGAGGACGGTCAGTGGGAAGATGTTCACGTCATCACTGGAGCGCTGAAGTTATTTTTCCGGGAGCTTTCTGAGCCGCTTTTCCCATACAGCCACTTTAATAAGTTCATCTCAGCCATCAGTGAGCATTCTTTAACAATAAGCCTAATTCTAAGCGCTATATCATCAATTTTTACAGGTGAAATTGCAGTGAGTGTTGCCATTGGTCATTAACAATTGTTATGTATTTCTAGGAATTGGTGATTTCAACACAAAACGGGATCACATGTATGACTTGATCCAGTCACTTCCTGCTCCAAACCACCACACCATGAAGCTTCTATTCGGGCATTTACACAGGTTTGTGACACTTTACTTTTCTGTCCTTTGCATTTTATCTTTTATTTATTTATTTATTTATTTTGCTTACTGTGCTTATATTCATATTGAAATTGAGAGGATTTGTCATAATTATTGAATTTCCTTCACAGGGTTATTGAATATGGGCAGGATAATCGTATGACTGTACAGAATGTGGCAATTGTGTTCGGCCCAACGCTGCTTCGGCCGGAGATGGAGTCGGGGAATATCGCGATGCACATGGTCTTCCAGAACCAGATAGTGGAGTTCGTCCTGAACGAATACAACTATCTCTTCCAATAAACAGTAACAAACCTCCAGTGCAGACCTGGGCCAACATGTAAATGTGGTCAAATTGTTTAAAGAGATAGATTTACCTTTGCATTTGCACATCAGCAGCTTCAGTGTGCGATCTGGAAAGTTAAACTCCTTCTGTAAAATATGTGAAAGGGGTCTTCAAGTTTATTCAGACTAGGAAAGGGATCTTCACGTGCTCATCGCTGAGGATATTTGAAGCATGTTTAACCACTGTTTTATCTGGATTTTCTCTGTCGTGTGCAGCTTACACCGTTAGACCCTACGTTGGCAGTATTGCAGGAGAGGAAGTTGAGCTACATGGGTGTTGACAGGTGTTGTTTGGTTTACCGTTTCAAAGCCACTGAGCTTGTTGTGTGTGTGTGTGTGTGTGTGTGTGTGTGTGTGTGTGTGGAGTGAAGACTGTAACAAATTGCTCTCCCTCCCTGGAACTCTAGGTGTCTAAATCTCACAAGTCACTTTCTGGAGATTTTATTTTATTGCTTTTTTTTGTTTTGGTTTATCTAAATCTCAGTGATAATAGAACCAATAGGTCAAACTTGGAGAAATGCATTAATTCTCTCTTTAGCAAATTTTCTTTTATTGCTTTTATCTTTATTTTTAGTAATTTACAGTTTATCACTCATGGCAATATCTGAGATTCTATGCTAATATTGTTTCTTCTTTTTCGGCCTCATTTTTACGCAGGAATTTTATTGTAATATAGAAATGTGTAAAAAAAAATATTAATACTTCTTGCTATGAAATAGATGATGGTGACTTAGAGTACTTGTGCAACTTGTAGATTATTTTCAACTGAAAACATCATTTTTCAATCATGCTGTACTTGAAGAAATTGTATAATAACAGCACAGAGATATAAAGTAGCAACAGTTTGAAATTCAGAACAGAAACATGGATTGTAGCTTTATGACATGTAAATAGAAATAGATGGCATATTTATGCTTCAAGTTGGTGAAAATGCACAAGTTATTCCATAATAAAATAACTTTGTTAAAAAAGGTTTGTGTGTATGTTTGTTTCTTGCAATCATGTGTTTATAAGCTGTAAATGGGAGAAATACATTTAAGAATTTGTTTTTTCATTAAAGCTGGCCTGTACACTTGTCATGTATATTTTTATAATTGTGGATGTTCTCATAAATAATAATTTCCAAGGTTTCAAATAATGGGGTCAACATATATACAAGTAAACCATGTTATTCAAAAGTTCAAATTTTAACTAAATATTAATCTAAAGTGAAAAACACTTTCGGTTAAATTAATATTCGACATTTGTTGAATAAAAAGGATTGCGTCATTATTCACTTTTAACTGTTCTTCAAATATTTTATTGTCAAAGCAAATGGTTGCACAACTATTGTACAATTGCAATTAAACAAACTCTGATTACACGTGCTGAAGAGGCTGAGGAAATAAAATGCTTATTTTATAAAAGGCTTTATAAATGCCAAAAGGTGTAACTTAAATATTAAATATTTAACACGGGTACGGGTCTTTAATTTAATCTACAAAATACATTTAAAAAATCATAAAGCTGAATGTTTTGTAAATGCTGAGGTCTAAGTAAAAACAACAACACGAAAACAAAAAAAGTTAGAGAAAGAAATCTTTCTTCTTGCGATCCCCCAAATCGGAAGTTTATGAGTCGGACCATTTGGGAGGTTGGACGCGTTTCCGGGAGCTGTCAGCTGTGAGCACCCAACATATCCACTGCAATGAGTTTTGAGTGGCCGTGGCAGTACAATTTTCCACCGTTTTTCACGTGAGTCAGATGTTTCTCAGTATTTTTCAGAGCAGAGCTTGTGAACACGAAACTCAGTTTTCAGTATTTATTCATTTATGAGTCGGTGAGCGCTTATTTTCGTGCTAGCATCATGTTAGCACGCCAGCTAGCCAAACGAAACAGATTGCTAGGGAAGTGATTTTGCACTCACTGGCTTTCTGAAGTTTATTTAAAGTCTTTCTCGGTTTGTCTCAGTGGCTCGTTAAGGCTAGACTTCAGGGGGCTATATTAAAACATTAACAGGCAAACAGTTCATCGTCGTGTGTTTGAATTTTGGGATTTCCACTGTTATCTCGAGTGAGCTTATTTAATGGGATGAGCTGCGAGATAGCGAGAATTTCACCTAGTTATCGCCTAAAGACTTGCACGTTTTGGTGTAATAAAAGTCAGGAAGACCTCAGTGCTGAAATCCCTGTAAAACACTGCTGTCCCGATAAATCACCGGGAGAGCAACTTCCCGAAAGGGACATTTAAAGGGGCTGCTATTGTCTAGGCGGTCGAATATGATAGGGTAGGCTTGCAATAAAAGACTGGTTTTATACATGATATGTAAAAATGACTTTTAACCCGTTACAATATGACAGATATTAGGAAAGCAGCACATATGTATATACTTAAAAATGGAACACTTTGCTCTTATCTTAATCCCAGGTCAGTGTTAACATATCTGCCTATGGGTGCAGTTTGTCTTTTGTATTAAGTTTGTATTATGTTGCCAAACATTGCTCCTGCCTGCAAGAACACAAAATCAGGCAAAACGTTGGATTCTCATTTGAATCACTGTCCTTGCAATAAAAAGTCTTTAAGTAAAATCTGGCCATCTACTGTCTTCTGCTTATTCTATATTACTGGCTTTTACTGGCTCAAAATAGGCTGGCAATTGAGTTTTTTCAGGTACATTGATCTAGCACCAATTTCAAACAACCATCACCTCAAGGCACTATTATAAGGTAATGATGGTGTAATTTTGGAGAGAACATCCCAGTGACCCATTCCTTCCCTATCCCTTCTGAACCCAAGCTAGGAGCTGTTTGCACAGGAGACGATACTGATAATTGAAGGCTCTGTCTTCTATTATACTTTTACAAACTCTAGGAACTGCAAGTAACCCTATAGTCTCAGAGCAAGGTGCTCTGTTGGCAGGATATGATGCAATGATGCCTGTAACAGATGATCAGAGTTGTAACCAATGGACAGGTGGCTAAGGGCGGGCACAAAGACTGTGAATCAAACTGGCTGAAGTGGGCCCAAACTGATGAGTAGTTTTCCTTATAGCCAGTGTTTTCGCTCTAAAATATCAATAAATCATGAAACCACCTGTTTGCATAGTTTAAATGTGAAGAAGACTTTTGTTTTTAGAATGTCTCATATACCCCCTGTTTGTTTTGCACATCAATAGCACAGCTAAATTAAGAAGAAACTAAAATAAAAGCTGTCTCTGTGGGTAAACTGACAGATCTTTAAATATGGCAGATTTCTTGTAGACTTTGCTGTACCTGGAAAGCAGCCACCTCTCTTTTTAGCAGCAATACCTAGAACATGCAGGGGGGGAATCTAAAGAGGGGCATTGCATTTACTTAACTACACTTATTTTAAAGCTTAAATATATATATATTTTTTCTGATGTTGATTTATTATCTAAATCTACTAAGAAATTATGGCACGTTCTTATAGATTAAGTCAGCTGTATATAAATTGAATTGAATTGAATGAATGCTTTATTGGCCATATGCAGGTTGCCCCGCAGAGGAATAGGACCCCCCCGACTTACACACACAACAAAGACATCACATGGGAATACAGTCGGAGATCGGCAGCGTTGCAGAGAAAACACTGAAAAATTACACAACAGTGGGAAAAGTACAAGAGGAAAAATAAAGAGACCTCTTCTCACGCTGGGCACCTATGGGAGGACAGCATGAGAACAGGAAACAAAAAAAACTCCTCTGCACAGAGAGCACATTAATGTCCACATCACAACATTAGAGCACGTGACTAGCCACAGGGGTGGATAGGGGGGTGGGGGGTAATCCGAAGGAACACAGCAGTCGTCCTAAAGTAATTAAAATGGCTTTTTTGGAGATCAGTAAAACTATACAAGGGGTCAGTATGTTGGACACTGATGTTGGGGCCTGATGAGTCAAGACTTCAGGAGAAAGATTTTAAATAAACATCTTTTATTCTGGAACCAATGAAGAAAAGTAAAGAATTATTCATTATAAAACATTAAATGCTTACTAGATGAAGGCTTTTCGAGCAAACTGACTTTAATTAGAAATGCAGCATTCATAAAAAAGCTTGATTATGTGATTAACGCTGTTTATGGTTAAGGAAAAATGTGTTTGTGTCTTTAACGTGCATTAAGTTTATTTTGCCCAAGCATTTGCGGTAATCTTTGCAGTAATCTCTTTGTGTTCTTTTCTGACAGACTACAGCCCAATGTTGACACGAGACAGAAGCAGCTGGCGGCATGGTGCTCACTGGCTCTGTCCTACTGCCGGCATCACAAGCTCTACACGCTGGATGTCATGGAGGCTCAGGAAAGCCCCATGTTCAACAACAAGAAGATAGAACGTATCCTGAAAGTCAACCTGTGGTTCCTTTTTAAGGGAGTGTTCAATTATTTTAACGGGGTTTTTTTGGAAAAATATTTGTTTGTTTTTAGTTTAAATCCTTTATTTTTTATATATTACAATTGCTAAATCTCTTGTGAAGAATTTATAGTTCAGAGATATTAATGTTGACACACATTGCAGTCACTGTAGTTTTTAGGACAGAGCCACCTCCCCCTTTCTCTCTCTGCTTGACTGATTTATTTTGAGGTTTCCCTCTTGATTCGGGCCTGATACAAAGCTGTCTTCAGAGACTGAGGTCATAACATGATCACTGAATTTTATTTCCCAGCTAATCTGTGCCGAGGGCAAGATGAAGCATTTTAAACACAACTGGCATGAAGATGCTTATTGTGCCATTGCACATTAGCCTTAACTGAATCCCAGGAAAACTGTCAATGGAAGCAATTCAAGTTGTTTTTGAGGAACTGAGGAAAAAAGGTGAATTTTATTCACTTTACCTGCCAGCATAGTGTCAAAAATATCTTATTGTGTAACGTTGATAAGTGAAAAGCATTCTTGTTGTCTTCAGGCAACCTCGAGTGGTTGGATAAAAACAAGTCTCGGTGTTTAGTCATGTGGAGACGACCAGAGGAATGGGGCAAGTTAATATATCAGTGGGTGAGTCATCAAATTACAACACATACTGCCACAAACTGTTTTTTTTTTTGTTTTTTTTGCACATTTATGCAGCTGATAACAGAATGAGGTTTATTTCAACCTCACGATATTGTTCATTATTGCAATGTTGTGATAATCACAGTGTAAAACCATTAATATCTACACTATAATAAAAACTAAAAAGGGGAAAGACAAGCTCATGTATCTTATCGATGCTCATGTAACCAGCACACAGACATAAGACAGAATCACTAGCATTAAAGAACAGTAGCATTAAAGGACAGATGATAAGAAACAACGTGTTATGTACTTAAAATCTCGTGAAAAAAAGCAAGAAATCGGTGCATGTTCTTTATCTGTCACCTCAACTCTTTATTTAGTCCCTGTTGAACTCAGCAAGTGTCTTGCTAGGGACCTGAGTAAGTGCACTTCTGGCTTTCATGCTGTTTTGATGAGCAGTTCTTATGTTTTGGCTGAAAGTTGTTGTTTTTACCAGTGTTTTCCCTGCAGTGACTGCAGTCTGATTGCATAGATGATATAAAAGTTGGATGTATTCACCATTATGTCATCCATTGGTTTATTAAGGTTTTGTGCTTTTTTTCCCCTGATGTTTTAAAACTAGATATGATGAATGAGCAGTGATGGGTAAGATGTTAGTAAATGGGGATAACCTGGGTACTCCTCCTTTCCAACTCTAAGAACATCTGTAATTTACAAAATAAGCTTGAGGTTTTTATTAAGATGGTCTGAAAGGAGTGACTAAGCCCAAAATCTGATTAGGAAAGTGTTTACTGAGTCACAGAGCAGAAACAACCAACACTTGTTCTCCCATAGACTTTTATACAACTTGAACTCCTTTTACTGCCCTCTGTTGATCATTAGCAAAAATGCATGTTTAAGGCCACACTGGCTTCACTGTTTATCCCTGCTTCACTCTGTTTAGAGTGACTGGCACACATGGATATAGAAACATGTATCTTCAGCTGTTTTACAAGGTCATTCGTTGATATTACCGCATCCCCAACCAACAAAATCCATAAACCTTTTTCTTTAACTCCAAAACTATGACTGTATGATTGTTGGGGTTTTCCCTCGAGTATTTGTAAAATAAAACACCTTAAAAAGATTCTTCTTGTGAGTTGATGCTATATAATTAAACTTTAAACTGAAAAATGAAGATCTGAAGACTTTTCTGAACTTTATTTTTAGAATATCAACTCTCATTCTCGCAATATCATACAATTGATTGTCCCAAAAATCAGAATAGAATTAGGAAAAAAGGCTTTTAAATACGCTGCCCCTGTTTCCTGGAATAATCAGCAGAAGGAACTGAAATTATTAGAACTGGTTACCATGTGGGAGTTTAATTCCATCTTAAAGGAACGAAAGAATTACTTTTTTTACTCGGTGTGATTGTTTTTAATTTCGCTCTTAATTGATCTGTTATTGTATATTTTTCATGTTTGTGTGGGATATTGTATTTGTTTTAAATGTTATGTACTGATGTGGTAATTTTGTTGCCATGATGCCAGGTCTCTCTTCGCAATGATAATTTTAATCTCAATGAGAGTTTTACCTGTATAAATAAAGGACTAATAAAAACATCAAACTGAATTAAAACCAAGCCTTAACCAAACAAGTCTTCAAACTAAGGGTCCAGAAAGTTTTAACTTCTCATCCTTCAGGTAGTCTATAACTCTCATAAATATAGCTGATCGGGTACACTATATTTTCGTTTATAAATTTATATCATTTTACCTATTTATTGCCTTTAGCCTCACAAATTACTTAAATCATTTTGTTTGGTTGCAGTTCTTGTAAAAACTGGACCCCACACTGCCTGTTCTGAACCCACATTTTGAACAACGATTATTCCTTTCTGTCTGTTCTCTCTTCAAAACAGAAACTTAATGATTAACTGCATGCGATGCATTTAGAAGAAATGGCAGCTTTAAAAAACATCTGTTTCACTTTCTCCAACTTTCAGTTAGTTTAATTCAGTTTCTGCTTCTTCTTTTTTTTTTGTACGTTCAGGTTATAAGACTGTTTACCACTTCATGTGTCAAATTAAGAAATTATATTAAAATAGAATAAGACTTGTGGTCAAGGTTCCAAATTAGTACCTACAAAGATCCAAATGGGTATAGTTTGGGGGTTTTTTTCCCCCCATTTTTCCAGTAAGTCTGGGAAGCCTATCAGCTACATGTCTGTAGGGGGGGGGGGGAATTATCATGTAATAAAAAGGATCTAGTGCATTTTGATGCCATTTACAGATGTGCCGTATTCTTTCTTGTGCTGTTCATGATAGAGATTGGCACACAGATGGTGTTGGTGAAGGTTAATGGAGCACATCTTCAGGGCTGTGGGTGTACGTCACAACCGCTGTGGTTGTGTAAACAATTTAAACACGACTGCTGTGCTGTTTTGTACACCTTGTACTTCTACACATATATTGTAGGTGTTACCTGCGACATAACGAGAAGGCCAGTGTTGTGTTCATCGACCACTTGGGCTCTCTTTGCTCCTTGTGCTTAAAAAAAAAAAAAAAAAGCAGCCTGCGCTGGCACGAGTGCAGAGCCACTGCTGACTTCTTGAGAAGCAGCACACTTTTAGACAGGTTAGAACTGATCATTAGCAACAGATGTTGGGATAATTTCTGTAGGGACAAAACCATGGTGGACAGAATCTGTGTCCTGCATCTGCTAGTCGTTTGTGAATTTCTTGCTTTAGCTCCTGCATTAGTAACCTAAGCAAGTGGTTTCAACCTTTGGACCAGAAAGTTTGTGGTGCTGGGTGGGTTTATGGCACTTGCATCTGTCTGATTTTGTGTAAAAATGTGTGAAAATTGTTCCAGATTGTATACTGGGGTTATGGTAATTGAAAAGGAGTGAAACTGGTTTGAACATGTTTATATTTTCAGTGTCAAAAGCATATGTCTGTAAATATTCTATATTTTGCCAACAAATCCAATGGAAACAATCAGTGATTTCTTTTATTAACAAGTATTGTTTGCACATTCATTCTTTACTGCTGGGTCATGAGGGGAGGGTCAAAATTATAGCCTTCAGCGATATTAAATAGGATTGAAGCTACAGACAAGCTAGAAACTTCTGAAAATACAGTTGGGTTCATAAATAATCCACCACAGTGGATTTTAAGTGAAACAACAGAAATACAGACCAGTAATTCAAAGGTTTTAACAGAATTTTGACACTAAGTGTTTGGTTATTAAAGCCGTTTTTATGCACAGTCCCTCATTTTCACAGGCTTAAAAGTAACTGGACAATTGAGTGGGATGGGGGGAAAATCAATACAGCATAGTATCGCAATATTTTGCATGGTAATATTGTATCAATACAGGGACACCAAACATCAATATTTTATTAAATAAATAAAAATACTTTGGGAATAGTTTATTTTTATCCACAATTTCATCATCTAGAATAAAATGGGTTTTTTTTTCTTTAAAAAGCTGCTTTTTTTTTTTATTTATTTTTTTCTTAATAAAGAAAAGTATTCTCTGTCACCTTAACGCATCTGTAAATGTAACCATTATATCTTTTTCCAACATTTTAGGTTTCCAAAAACGGTATGGTCAACTCTGTGTTTACACTTTATGAGCTGTCCAATGGTGATGACACAGAAGGTGAAGGTATGGCACCGTTTTAAAGTTTTCCACATGGAGAAAGCACCCATAAAACCCAGCTCGCGTTAAAGTAAACATAACATAGCACAGTGGCGAGAAAGGCTTTTATTAATGCTGGCTGTACAGTAGGTTTCCAGTCCTAGTTTGTTTTAACTGTTTGATTTGTGTTGTTTACTCTGTTTCCTGTTTCTGCATGATTTCACCTAGCTGTAGTCCCAAATTGCTTCTTTCATCTCTATTTTTGCACGTAAAGCACTGTTTAATGTTAATAAATGCGATGCTAATGAAATGTGCTGCACACATTGACCCAAAACATTATGAAGATATCAGCTTAATATACTGCTTATCCTTTAAGTGCTTAAAAACATCTCTGACCTGCCAAGGCATGGACTTGAAAGAGACCCTGTGGTATCTAAACCTTTTGCCCGTGACTGGGAGCCAAAAGGTCTTGCTGTGTCAGAGATTCCTGTTCCTTAATAATTTGGCTCTTGTCAGAGTGGCTCAGATACCTGCCCATTTCTTACTTGTTTTCTTGCATAGCACACCCTAACCCTACAGGGAACCTATTATACTTACTTCCAGCTACATATGTTTAATCTTGGCCTCCACTAGACCAGATTTGCATGATTCACAGCTTGAAAATAATCCTTATTTACCAAATACCGAACCTTGATGGGGCCTTCAGTTCATGGGCTGACTGAAGTATCAAGTATCATACATAGCCAAGAGGAGTGAAAAATGTGTTTGGTGCAGCCCTGAAGCCTGAGATTTTGATTTATTTGGAACTTTGGCACAAAGATTAACGCTCACAGCAAGCGGTGAATTCTGGATTCGAATTCCACTTTCTGTACAGAGTTTAAATGTTTGCCCTGTGCCTCTGTGGGTTCTTTCCAGGTATTCTGGGCTCTTCCCTTACAGTCCAAAACATGCACATGCACATTAGGTTAATTGTCACTGTGTGTGAGCCTTATTATAAACCGGTGATCCCATCCCTCCCATCTGGCATCACTGCAAAGAGTCAACACTTATCATATAAAACTATGCTGCTGGTCCTCCAAGCAGCATGCTTGAAATTGGCTCTGATCCCCTAAGGCGTGGACTCTGAAGTTGCCCTGTGGTACTCAGTCCTCTGCTGCTAATTGAGAACACCCCATAAGCCCTCCTCGTTCTTAGTGACCTAAATAATTTGGCTTCTTTGAGAGTCACTCAGATATTTAGCCTATGTTTTTCCCAGATCCAACACATTAACCAAGTGTTCCCTTGCTCTCTTAGGCAGATATTTCCAGACTTGAAATGCAGGTTTGTTATGAGATAATAGTTGTTATTCACCTCATATCTGAGTGATCGGTGTTTTGACTCATTGATTAGTTTATTTGATTTTCTTATAGCTTGTAATCCTTTTTCTCCAGAGTTCCACGGTCTGGAGGACTGGATGCTGCTTCGCTCGCTGCAGGCTTTACAGACAGAAGGCAAAGCCGAGCTCTTCACCATGGACGATGGAAAAGGCGTCAAGTTCTTCTAAAACTGTGCTGGAATCACACACCCTCTGTCTGGGAGCCCTCACACTGTACTTTACAGACAAATTTTTATTAAGATTTAGCCATTTAAGGCTACATAAGGTGCACCTCAATACCGAGTCTAGTGGATGCTGGTCCTCTAATTGTTGTTGCCTTTTGATTCAAAGCCTTCTCTTACTGGAAGAGAACCAATATCATTTCTAAGTGTTTGGGGGGGGGGGCATTTTAGATCATGCTACTTGTAAAGTCGTCATAGGTAGCATTTGTTGCCATTTAACCATGCAATGAATATCAGGGCACTAAATACTGTCATGTCTGAGTACTTTAGGGGAACGTCTTTCCCTGCCCGCTTTAACTTTACTCCATCTTTATTATTGTAAATGCATCTACTTTTATTCTCATTTTTCTCTGTTAACAAATTTACTCTGTAAAAATAGCTGTGGATCTTTGCTCGGCTGTTATTCCTCTGTTCCAACCAGACATACCAAGAAATTCCAGAAAGCAACACCAGAGGGACTTTTTATTTTGAGAGTAAATGCTTCCAGAAGAGGAACACAACAGGCGCTTGAGCCAGTCTTGGCTTGACTCAGCTGCGTGTAATAATAGTGGACTTCATGTACAGATTGCTGTATCCTATTATTGTGCAGTAGCTACTGTGATGCTCCTGTTATCTTTATCTCTGTCTATATTCAACTTCTTTTTCATATCCTGTAGGAAATAAATTAGACATTTGTTAAATTTTCTGGCTATTTCCTTTCTTTCACGTGCATCGACGTTTTGTTGTGTGAAAAACACGAGTGAGGACTTCAAAAGCTTTGCAGAGTGCAGACTGAAACTGCAGCAATGATGATGCTTTGATCTCCTTGCTGCAGCTGTATTAAAGTACTGCATACTGACATCATGTGCTGTGTATTCCCGCCTGTGGAGGGATGATACAGCTCCAGAGAATTGTGCGTGTCTTTGTGGATAAAACCTTGTATGTTCTCTTGTGGGGCAGGTGGGGCCCAGTGTGGCCTTGGCTGATAATGGTGTACTGTTTCACGAGCAGCAGCCCCCCCTGTAGGCCAGGCGCGGGTGCGCATCCTCCACCTTTGGGCAGCATATCGCTTTTCACAAATGAGGACAGCCTTGGCCAAGTAATAAAATGACTCATCGTTTTTATCTAATTTCAGAGGAAACTGAGGAGGAGTTCTTTTGATCAGCGGGGGGCCAGTTGAAAGTGTGGACATTCTGTTCGTCAGCAAGCTTAAAGTCAACCAGCTGAAGAACCTGATCGCCAAATTAATACAAAGTGTCATAAAAGGCAGCTTATGGATTGTTTCTCAAAAATTTAGAGTCACTCCCACAGTTGAGTTTTGAAGATATTCTTTTAATCGGATAAAACAAATCAAAACTTAATAACACTTGCGGTTCAAAATGATAAATTACCAAACACTCCTCATCTTATTATAATTACTCCCTCTGGATTGCCCTATTGGCGCGTGAAAGCTGCGAGGGGGCGGAGTTGGAAGCGCGCACTGGGAGCGCACAGGACGAACTGCCCTCCGGAGCTTTGTTGATATTGGCAGTTCAGACCTTTCGCAGTAGGTTATGGCAAAAGCTTTCAGAAAGACAAGAAGAAGAAGACGAGAGGACCACACGAATCACTTGAAAGAAACTATGCATTAATGTGCGTGGAGCGTTCAAGTGACATGTTTTTTACGCAGTGAATGTGCTGAGTAAGTGTATTTTCCTCACTTTTCTGGTTTTTTTACACGCTTTATCTGTCATATACTTCTAAGGCTGGTTACCACTACAGGCACTACAGTAGTTTACACGTTTCCGACTATCGTCTCTAATCTTGTTTTCCTTAGATATGGCTGTTATTCAGTCTCCAGTCTTTTGTTTTAAAGCCACTGACTTAACTGACATCATGGAAAAGTAACCTGAAATATAAAGTAACGGTGCTCTGCTGTCCTACTGTTATTTCCATATTTAGGCTCCAAATCAGGTTGAACCTGCCACAATGTCTCATGCACAAGTAGAGATACCAGGACGCGGGTTCCCGGGGCTCTCCGTGGATATGACCGACGACTGTTTGTCCCGAGTCCCATCCGTGCTGAGGACGCACGGGCTGGGCGCACGGAGGAACTCCTACGGCCTGCAGAAAATTAGTATGGACATTGATTCTCCCCTATACAGCGGTGTACTTTCCAAAGCCTTATCGTGGTCGGCAGAAAATATTCTCTCTCTGCCCGAGTCCAGAGCAGAGGAAGAAAAAACAGACGACACCCCGCCGTCCGCGTCTCCGGTTTCCAGCTCCAGCACGTGCCGCCAGGACCCCGACGCCGGGTCCGTCGGTGGCAACTGGAAACCTGTTGCCAGATCCACTCTTCAAGATCCCAGCTCGGACTCTGAAAACGAACTTCATAATAAACAGCAAAAGATTCTGTCTCGCATCACGTTTGACACTCAGTGGGAGCAGGAAGAAAAGGAGGACGTGGAGACTAAAGCGGTGGCAACATCTCCTGATGGAAGATATCTCAAATTCAACATAGAGATTGGAAGGGGGTCTTTCAAGACGGTCTATAAAGGGCTGGACACAGAGACTACAGTGGAGGTGGCATGGTGTGAGCTACAGGTAGGATGCACACTGGGTCTGTTCACAGCATATTCCCATCTATGTACAACTTCACACAAACGATGCATTGGTTTCCAGGACTTTTAAATCTACCTTTCCTAAAATGAACACTAGGCCAAGTGTGTAAGCTGATGCTTTTCTTGATTTCCTGGCCCACTTGCTGCTCTAATTCCTCCCTCAGGGCATTAGGGTTGATGTCAGGCAGCTAATCTACTGTATATTATTCCCCACTGACCTTGAGTTAGTTGTGTCAGGCACTTGCATGGTAAGGCAGGTCATCCTGTTAGCAGTCAGCTCCAAGCTGAGCTACAGTACTCTGCTTGTCATGAATCCCCTCTAATCTCTGTTTTCATTAACAACCAGTGACACTGGGGCTCTCTGAAGGCCTCACGTGACAGCTAAGAACATCTGAAAGGTAATAGATCAAGTTTTTAGGAACATACCATCAGTGGTTGTGTTAAAAAGTAAATGTGATGTGGGGCTTGTGAGATGAAGTTCTGCTTGGTGGTCTGGCCTTGCAGGGCATAATGCCCACGTGTATCATGTAAACATAAAGTAAGGCAGACGACTGAAGAGGCAGGCTTCAGTAAAACTGTAGAAGTGTCAGTACTTTTTATGCCATAGCATTTGGCGCACAGCCTTGAAACAGCCTGGGCAACAGCTGACACTTCTCTTGCTTACATGGTTTGATAGCACAGTTGTGGACTTAGAGATTAAAACTGTAAGTCCACTCTTAACATTTGCAGTTTTGTGTGTGTGTGTGTGTGTGTGTGTGTGTGTGTGTGTG